TTGGAGCTTTCAGAACCTCTCCTGTTGATAGTCTGTATGTAGAGGCCGATGAGCCTCCGTTGAAACAACGTCGTTTAAAAGTTGTACGACCCGTGAAGATTCCGGGGTAGAATAGGTCTTCAGCCGTAAAAGGTGACTATGCTTGTCATAGAAGGCGACTAACGGGATCGGGTGGTCAGGCTCGCTGACTTGGTTGATGCATGGCATCGATCCCAATTGCGTGGATCGATGCTCATGATATCAATCACTGGATTGTCAGGTCCAGACTTGATTATTTTACAGACCGCCGTCATACAGCTGGAATATTGCTGAGTGCGGCGTTACTTGCACTACGAAATATCACAAAATTAAAATCAAACCCGTCAAATCCAGCATATGATTGCATTTTTAATCCTGTCTATGAGAAATTATTCCAAACTAAACCGAAGCTGGTTCCACCGCTGGGGATCAGACTACAACAGCAGCTCATATTGACCTTGATATTATTGCACCCTACCGATTACTGTCTACGCCTCCTTGGCAATTAGTCAAACCAGAAGTAGATCTTACACTTACTAATTTTAAACAATCTGATACAAACCAGCTAATTTTTCAACGAAAATATGTCCAGTTACGCTCTAAATACAATTCTCACCGCTCCGTCTTCTCAGATGGATCCAAGGATGGCAGCAAAGTTGCCAATGCTACCTTCATTGGTTCAAAAACTATTCCTTCTAGATTACCAGATAACAGCTCAAGATTTAGAATAATCTTGCTACTGGCCAATACGACATCGTCCTTTGTTAGTTGCCTAGTCATGTTGGTATTGCTGGTAACACACGGGCTGACGCTGAAAGATGCTCTTGATAAGCCAATGTCTCATCTTTCCATTCCCTACAGTGATTTTATGCAATGCATCAAGGAGTATATTCGTAGTTTGATGCAGAAAAGATGGGACATCCAAGCAGGTTCAAACAAACGTCATGAATTTAAATCCAAATTAGGTTACACCTTGGGTGCCAGTCCAGACATGGCGAGTTTGTTCTGCGACGATGTCGCAAGGCCACAGTCGCTACACACATGAATACCCCTTGAAAGGTGAGGATCCTCCGTTTTGTGTCCCTTGTGATGAGAGAATCACAGTCAAGCATATTTTGCTTGACTGATAGACATTTCTCTCACAAGGGATACCTATTATCATTCAACTTCTTTAAAGGATTTTTTTTTATAAATATCGATGCTCGTTTAATTCTCAAATTTTTAAAAGAAATGCAATTATTTGATAACTTTGAATTTTGAATTGTTTTAGATTAGTGTGATGTTATACACAATGGAGATTGTTGAAGACTGGGCCACTCAGGGGGTTAAGGTAGTGTAATATTACTGTCCCCCTGACAGTGGCACGTGAATCCATGTATGTGGAAGTGTATAATGTCAACTTGTGTTTTAATGTATTGATTTTGCTTCAATTAAGAATTTAACCTTTACTAAACCTTTAATAAAACCTTTACTTTGTGTGAGTTCATTGGAGTATGAACCTCACTCTATGAAAGTTCATTACAATTTCTTACAATTTCTTACCTCAAAGGATGTAGGCCAAGATCTAAACACAATTTTATTATTTAGTACGTGTGACTTCATGTTTACACTGACAGCCATACAACAACCAGCTATATCGCGGAAGAAAATAGTTCCCCCAAAAGAGAGGTGACATGAGCGTATAGATGCAGAACTTGCTCTTCAGAAACATCTTACGCAACACATGTGTTCATATAATATCCCCATTAGATGAGAAAGGTCTGTAATGAACTACCTCAGTAAGTCTGTCACAATGACAGCGCGTCGTAATACATTTACATCAAGTACAAGACGTCAAAATGGCCAACACGATAAACGTGACGGGAGGATTTCCGAAGTTGTTAATGAACCTATGGCGGTTACATGTGTTAGTCATCATTGATCAACTGACCGATTAGTGAAAGGTGATTAAAGATGCGTCAAACAGACACGAAGGTAAATTCGTAGATTGCTGGAGACGGTCACTGTCAGCCTAGACACAGATCGAGTCGATACTGACGATAGTTTGGATGTGCATTTTTTCGTTTGTTCATTAGGATGGCCCGTAGCGAGGAAATTCGTGAACAATCATGCAGTCAATCTCTCTTACGTATCTCAATGTATACTGAAATGCTGGGACCAAGATTAAAAGTTCTAAATGATCAGAAATAATGTTTTTGTATGTTTTCGTGCTAGGAATTCCCAGGGGTTTCCCCAGGAATGTGGAAGTAGTCCGTCAGTGTTTACGTCATTTCAAGAACACGGTCTCGTGAAAAACGTATGAACGTCAAATTGTGTTGTTCATACACTTATGAACGTCAATTTCGCGGTCATGTGACCGACCTCTCGTCCAATGGAAAAGCCGTATATCGTGTAAACGTCAATTGTTTTAATAATGGTTCGTATTACACAAACCACTGATGACCAAAGTGATGGCATACATCCTGCCAGGAATCATGCAGGAAGCCAAATCACTGTAAGTCCCCATGATTCCCAGTTAGGTGGTCTAGGTTTGGTTGCTGGTGGTCTATAGCCTGGTTTTAATTTATAGGAACTAATCTACTGAAACATTCTTTGTTTCAGTATTGCTTAGCTTTGTTTTATATCTAAACTGTGATATTTATCTTACTGTTTTATTGTCCTTCGTCGACAGGTTTTTTTTCTAAAAGTAACTACCTTGTTGTCATCGCGATATGGCTGCAATATTGCCGATGCGATGTAAAATTTTAGCTCATTCAGTGATAGAGGTGACAGAGTGATTAAAATTAAAAGTCGCAAAAGTGAACATGAACTGCATTATCAAATGATCCCTTTAAGTTCTCACGGTCATAGCTTAATCACTGTCAAAGTTTATTTTTTAATGTAATTTCAGATTCATGTACACGCTCACATCTCATCGCTGCCTCCGATGCAGCTGGTTTTCTCAACGACGCTTATAAAATGGCAGATGTTACTGACGTCACGCCTTCACACCCAATGGATCAACCACATACCCCTAGGGATTGTTTTTACGTTTGATTTGATGTCATTGAAGGTCAAGGTCCCTTAGTATAAACAAGGCACGCAACAACGTGAACATTTGTTTGATCCGATGTTTAACTAGAATGTGGTCATGAATAATTAATTAGCTGTGATGAAGGTGGGAGCAGACTTTGATTGATATTCGATCGAATGTTTTTTATTGTGAAACATGACGCTAAACTCACGAGCACTGCGTTTAGTTAATGAGAAGAAAACAACACCCTTCAACGATAACACTTTTTTCAAGGTTAAGGTCAGGTCAAAGGTTATTCATACATTGAAATACTCGTTACGAGTAGGATTCAGACGCTGATTAAATTACTGTATCCCCTCATCTCTTCATCGGTTATCAAAAGCTGGTCTATGTTACTCTTTTGGAGGCTACGTAGAAACCCGTTTGAGTGAGTGAGTGAGTGAGTTGGGTTTAACGCCGTTTTTAACAGTATTCTAGTTATATCACGGCGTGTCAGCTTAATGTGGGAGGAAAGCCCGAAGTGATGCAGATCTCAGACGTTTACCACTTCGATGAAACCCACGAGCACGGGTGTGATGCTGACAAACCTAGAAACATAATCGGGGCGAACCGGGATTCGAACCCACAATCATAGGTTTCTGGCGTGCCCAAGGGACGCAACTCTGCACAGCGAATCGCGGCGCCTTAGACGACTGGGCCACCCGTGCCGCCGAAACCCGTCCGAAAAGTCTGCAAATGTGCAATATGGGATATACAGCTTACTCATCAATCACGGATTTGCCACAAAACATAAACTGTTTTTAAAAAGCTGTATGCCTATCTGTTACTTATTCACTTATATTCAAATACAGACATGGTTTCTCATTGAATAAGCATAGCGGATAGCGGTTTCAAGGGGGCTCCTTTTTTGAAAATCAATTTCATAAATCATGAAACAAATAGAATGTTATCATTGGTGGGAACAAGCCTACGTCTGCAAAGTTTCACCTTCATAAGTCAAGTGGTTAGCAGAAGCGACCCGCGAAGATCCGGGGTAGAATAGGTCTTCAGCAACCCATGCTTGCCGCAAATGGCGAATATGCTTGTCGTAAGAGGCGACTTACGGGGCCGGGTGGTCAGGCTCGCTGACTTTGCTGATGCATGTCACCGTATCCCAATTGCGTGGATCGATGCTCATGTTGTCAATCACTGGTTTGTCTGGTCCAGATTCGATTATTTACAGACCGCCGTATTATAGCTGGAATATTGCTGAGTGCGGCGTTAAACAACAAACAAGCAAAAAGTTTGCAGACGCCAACAAAGATGACGGACGATTACCAACCAGACAATGCAATAAGCTCACTTGAGACAATACGATACATTACCGTATACTGATAGTTGATATTTAAACATAAATAACTTTGAACAAAATATAGCAATATTCCAGCTATATGACGGCTGTAAATAATCGAGTCTGGACCAGACAATCCAGTGATTGACACCTTCATAAGTACAGAATCATGTGCAAGACAGCGAGTGATCGACAGCATGAGCAACGGTGGAGCCAAAACCACGCACCGGCATGTCAAGTATTTCAACCTCCGGCCCGTTCGACATTAATCTCCTCATAAAGGAACTCTGCCACACATCGGAGATAATATAAAAGTAACATATTGTATCTTTATGAAACAGTACACGATAATCAGAAATAAGCCAGAAATTAAACTAAAATTTTACCAAATACGGTATAGTTATATTTATATTGTCATGTATCGATTCATCTGAAGTTTTTTCGACATGAACTTTACCTTAGACCACGTGATTTGCGTTCTCGTCATTTACATAACGTGTTGACAAATCAATTAAAGCATCATCCTGTCTTATATTCCTCCCCATAGGATTCTGGCATCGGCCCCGGTCGTTACACAAGTCGTGTCTACACCTACCTCGTTCCACTACCTGAGATTTATATTTAATGATGTAAAATTAATTCCGCAGCTCTGCGCACACCGTTCTCATGGCGACGCTTGCCTCCGATACGCTACCATTGTTTCCGCTGTTCCGGATGGAATCGAAGTTGTGCGATCGGTGATGCATAAGTGACAGAGAGAGTGTGTTGCGAGCCACGTGTCTCCGTATGGTTATGTTGGTGTGCGGGACAACCAGGCAACACACAGTACTGAGGGAAAAGAGCTCAGGTAAACATTTACCTCACTGTTATTGATGAGTGCTACCGATTATTTCAGACTAGCGCCTTGGTTTTCATTACAGGAATCGGCTGTGGACAAGGTAAGGCTTCACTCTATATCTGATACACGATGAAACAGATTATATTAGTCCAGCTTGAGGTGATAATCACACCCGTCCTACTACACGTGGCGACTTATGCTTTTGGTAAAAAGGTCACTGAACTGGATCGGGTGGTTATACTCGGATGACACAAGCCTGGGTTATTTACAGGCTCCGTCATATAGTAGGAATAATGCAGACAGCTTTAAATACGCAAAGCTAAAACGTGTTTTTGTCATTTTATCCTTGAACCTGTTCTTTTAAAATATGTGAGAGAGTTAACATGAAAAGATGAGATAATATTATATTTTTAATAATAATTTAAATTTTTATATTTATTAACATGTAATTAACATCTGTATTATTTCAGCTACCAGCGTTCTTTTAAAATATTTATTACTGCTGGAATATTGCCTTTCATGATATTGACAAATTCTTGCACATTCCTAACCTTTTGTTCCATACAGAATTCCGTACGTTTCTTTAATGCAATGAAGAGAACAAGCCGATTTTGATTGATATATTAACGTTAATTTGCGCATGAATTTGTGATGGTTTTGTATCTTTTTGTCGATTTCTTTTAGTAAAAAACGGTTCTTAATAATCAAATATCCGTTACTTGTGTGAAACGAGTGAGGTATCACATGTGGCCGGGGGAAATATTTTGAGAAGGCGATTAAAGAAGAAGAACATTTTGTAAATATACGTTCAAATTCCATGGAATGTTGCCAGGTAATGGTGATTTACATATTTGACCTCAAAATGGTGTTCATGGTGTTCTTAAGCCGATCAGGATTATGTCAACATCTTGCAACGAAAGTGCGAAAAAATCCGAAATCAATGTCAAAGATGTGAATAACTTTAAATTAATGAAACATGAAGCTCACTTTTATTAGAAGTTAACAATTGGTGAAGCGAATACAAATCATACATACATGTATGATCGAATACTACTACTACAGAACTACTACTTCTACTACTAATTATAATAATAATAATAATAACAATAATAGTAATAACAATAATAATCAGGCTGGTTGGGCTCATCATCAGCTCAGGGCCCTTGCCCCCTCTACACGCAGCCCAGACAGCGAATGGGGCTTCTCCCAGGAAGCGCTGCCCAGTCGAACCCACCCAGAACTTTTCGGAGAATGTGAAGACTCCCCAACACTGCAGCCTTCTGCATTACCCAGATTGTCAGAAGGGCTGTATTCCTGGTAGCAAACCCGGGTACCCTCCCAATGTCAGTCAACAGATACCAAACCTAAGGCACCGAAAACAAATGGGAGTCGGACAACTTGGTACTTGGGATGCAAGCATGACATTTCGAAAGCGAGGTCTGCATATTTGCCATGTTTTTCCTCAATCTTGTCAAATGCAATGATATAAATTATTTCATTGGATTTATCAAAAAGGACAAGATCAGGATTGTTGGCCTGGATATGTCTGAGGCTGTATACGGGCCTATTCCAAAAGAAGAAAGACAAGTTCTATGCATGAACAACTTCTTTATTACAATTAGTGCGACGTTTCGGTGTAGATCCTAACACCTTTATCAAGCACGTGATGGATAGTGCTTACTTACTTACTTACTTTGGAGATTTAACGTGCGCTTTCCGACTGATGCGTATTTCGCACACGGCTAGTGCTGACTGACTGACTGATATAGAAGATTTAACGTGCGCTTTCCGACTGCAGCGTTTTTCGCACACGGGCCTGGCCAGACCATTTAGTGTATTCCGAGAAGGGTGAAAGTGGTGTGTGCAACACAAGAGGGGGCTTTTAGGGGTTGCTTATATCGATTTTTTGAAATTTTAAAATTTGGAATAAATGCCGAGGTGGGTGGAGGAGGGAACTTAGGGAGCCGGGTGAGGTGGGTGTATGTATGTTTATTGGATTTTGGATTGGTAGATTAATTAGTTTTTAGATGCGCTTAATTAGGCCTGTTTTGATTAGGAATACGCCTAGGGCCTTGAAGTTTTCTAGTTTATTTTGAGGGTTTAGTATTTCATCTAGAGTAGGAACCTTATTTAGATTGAGGTTGGTTTGTAGTGTGGTTCTGTGTGTTTGGTAGTGGGTGCAGTGGATGAGTGCGTGTTCTGTGGTTTCGGGTTGTTTGCAGTGGGGGCAGTTGCCTGTGGTGTGTCTTTTAAGTTGTTTTAGGTGGTTATTTAGGTTCGTGTGTCCTGTTTGGAGTTTTGTAATTAATCTGTCAATTTTTTTAGAGGGGTGTAGGATTTTAGGTTTGGCTAGTGGTTTTCTGAGCACTTTTTGGATTTGGCTATTTGAGTTTTGATATTGATTATGCCATTTTTTGGTTATTTTTTGTTTGTTTACACTTTTAATTTCTGATTTTGAGATGGGTAGGTTTAGGCTTATTTCTGGTATTTTGAGAGATAATTTAGCTGCTTTATCGGCGCTTTCGTTGCCGTAAATTCCTACGTGGGCGGGGATCCACAAGAAGGTTATTTGTTTGCCTGCTTTTGTTAGGTCGTTGGAGCTTTTAAGTATTTGGTTTATTAATTTAGGTCGTTTTTTGGTATTTTTGTTTTGGAGGGCTTGTAGCCCACTAAGCGAGTCAGTGAGAATTAGGATTTTTTTGTTGTTTTTTGATTGTTGGTTATGCAGGGCTGAGGCCATGCCCATAAGTTCGGCCTTGAATATAGATTGGTTGTTAGGGAGTCGGTAAGATTGTGTGGATATAACTGGTTGTGTGGTATGGACTCCGAAACCTGTGTGGTTGGAGATCGGGTCTGAGGATCCGTCAGTGTATATGTGACAGCTAGTGCTGAACAACATAGGTATATATACTTATTAACATCAATGTTTATACAGTAAATTGATTGATGGACACAGAGCTGATTAAGATGATTGGGAGCCAGTGAATGACTAATGGGACAGGGTAAACAACCACGGAAACTGATTGGGATGATTGGGAGCCAGTGAATTAGAAACCAGTGAATTGTGTAATGGACACAGAGTCAGCAAGCAGACTGATAGAGATGATTGGAAGCCAGTTGATTAATTGGTGTTGAGGTCCCGGTATACACACACACACACACACACACACACACACACACACACGTAAGGAGGTTGCGATCTCGTTAGCAATATACATATGGCTCTTACAGACAATATTATCGAAACAAATAAATATAAGAAAATGTAAACATCAAACGTCTGTTACTTCTTTCACGCAAAGTACAAAGTACATATCTCTAGTTTGACCTTTTGCCACGCTGACACACCACGTCAACACAATACTTTTCAAATCGAACTTAATTATATTTTTACTTAGAATAGACGCGACACGCACAATATGCCACACCGAATCATTGCAAAGATATGCATGATCCAGAAAGTTCAAATTAAGATTGCTTTTGATGCCAGGATTAGCGTATGGATATAAAATGGCACTCGTGTACTGTTTGCATGTGTTTGTGACGGGTGCCACCAGTGGGACGGGAAACGCTCACCTTTTCACGAACACCTGTTATCATCACTGTCTGACAGTGATTCATATTCATGATATAGCCTGGATCGTATAATCGACTCTACTGTTTGGCAGAGTTTTCTGGTGAGTGGATGTATGACATTACTCCCTTGGGAAATTTAAAACGTTGTTCCGTATCTCGTTAGATATTCTATCACACACCGAGCTTTGTACAAAGGTGCGAATGCACTGTGTTATGTAAAATACATCCTGCTTAGTTTTTATTGATTTTAATCGATTTAGATAAGTATCGTCATTTGAGTTTAAATTATAAATGCAAGAGAAAAACCAGCCTGGATTTTCTGTCAAAACAGATAAAAATTACAATTGGCGTCAAGGGCAAATAGCTGTGGAAATTATATGAATGGACCACTGTTGATGACACCAGGTGTTAGCGGAAAGGGTAAGCATGACCTGCCCTACCGTTAGCACCCGTCATTCAAACAATTTGCATAAAAAAGTAAGAAAAGACGATGGTACGCCACGATTGAATTGGGCAACAACGTAGCAGAAATATACGCACACTTCGTACGTATGATCGTACCCGATATTATTACAGGTAGCACCCGCCATTTATACAACAATATATATATCAAAAGTGAGTATTCATTTCCTGACACAGCACAGCAGTACTCCTACCATGCAACGTCAGCCTGTAGACAACCCAGTCAATCAAGTGATCGATGAAGCAGAAACTCCAGTAACATGAGACTACCATTATTGATTTTGTTGAAACGAATAAAAGCCGTACGTTAATTTTGAATTACGTCTGCTGCGTACAAGTGCAGGGAGTTTGCTGCTTATAAATAACGAAAAACGTTAAGAAATATGAACAAAGAAAAAAGTTAAGCACACCCCTATTTCTGAACCATGACATGCCAAAAATCATGGCATGGGATGACTGACCACAGGAGCTGGGCGATACCAATGTCATCGGAAAGAACAAACATTTGACAACAAATAAAGAAGATATTGCTGAGTTGTGATTGGAATTTACTGGTAAAAACATCTTAGTAACGCAGGTACTGCTTTTGACCTTAGACAACACCTCAAAAACGTATGGGGTTGCAGGATTAAGTAAACGAGTTACGTTTGATGTTTCATGTGAAAATGTTCCTTAAAGTCTCTACTTGACATGACACGTGAAACAGATCAGTAGCGGGTATAACCGCCACGTGCCCGGATGACGCATTCCACCCTACGTCTCATGCCTCCAGTCAGACGTTGGATCTGTTGACGGGTCAACAACAACCACTCCTGATGCAATGATGATTCCAATTGGCGTAAATCTTGTACAGGAGGATCTCATGTCTGTATGCGCCGCCCCTGAATATCCCAAACATGTTAAAGGGGGTTCAAATCTGGGCTCACTGCTGGCCAGGGTAGAGTCGTTATTGCATTGGCCCTCATGTGATCCGCGAGTGCATGCGAACGATGAGGCCTGGCATTGTCATCCATGTACTGAGGTCGAGTAGCAAGAGGGTGGTTGTCAAAATGAGGAACAACG